ACTACCATGTTATAGAATGATTTCTAGTTCTGCCTCCCTGAAGAGTTCCCTTGCATTTTTGGGCCAGTGAGTCAGATGGCTGACCGTCTATGGGGACCCCCTGCTGGCATTTCCTTAACTATAATTCCATTAAAGACAGTTCGTTGTAGTGATAATGGAGTGAGCCCTCCACACAGAATCCCAACTCTGAAACTCACTAGTTATATGGCCTTGGACAAACTCACGTCACCCTTTTGTGAATTGTCCTAATCTACATAGAAGGGAAAATAAAACTAGCACCTACTGTGTCAAATTTTATGATTAAACGACTTAATATATGAAAAGTGCTTAGGACATCGCATGGCACCCAGTAATGGGTCAGTGCATTTAAGCTAAATATTTTAAAAGTAGTAGTGATTGAGCTCCTGTTTGATGAAGAGCTCAGACAGCCAATCACATTGCTAGGAGTTTCCATCATTAGCCAGCCTGAAGTGCTTCTCTAACTCCTATCACAGGTTTTCATCTGCTTCACTGAGCACTTATGATGTGAGCCCCATGGACATACTCCTGACTCTGCAACAAACCCAGGACTGGCTGATCCTCTGTTTCCGTCCCTCTTCTGTTCCTCTCAGGTAGAGGAGCCACATGCACATCCGGCCTGGCCTTTGGTCCAGAGCCATTTCCACTGTACCTGTAACTCCTTTGAACACAGTCAACGCCTTCTTTTATGAACAGAGGCACAAATCCCCAGCAGCTAGAGAATAGGCCTTGAAAGGATGCTGAAGTGGAAGTTGGATTTGCCATGTCCCAGGGCGTGTTCACATCCCAGTATCTGGAGTCTGGCTGGGCCAGCCAAGCATGGCTTCTAACAACTTCACGGTATAGAGCCTGTGATTTCCGCTCTGATGCCGGTTGGCTGAACTCATTGAATTTGTGTAAACCGCTGGGCTGTGGCCTTTCGGATGGCCTCTCAGAATGTCCTCCCTGATGCTCCTCTGTGACCCTCAAGTATGCCCCATTGTTGGTTTATGGTCACCACTGCAGGTGCTTCTGTTTGGGAATATCTTGGAATTTATTTGGGAACGTTTTCATGTACTTTCCTCTGGATACGGAGCTTGAGTCTCTCCTAGGAGCAGCATGGGACACAGCTGGTCGTTCCTTCCTTCTTCAAACACTCTCTTCTCTTGGTTCTAGGAGATGATGCTCACCTGGGATTTTTTCTTACCTGTCTGCCCACTTCTTGTCTGTCTCTTATGCAGGCTGATTCCTCTGCTGACTCCCTAAACACTGCAGACCCTCAAGTCTCTGTCTAAGCCCGCTTTTCCCTTCACTGCTTCTTCTCCCCACGTGACTTCATCAGCCCCCATACCTCAGGCACCATCTACGTGCATTTGACTCACACATCACCTCCATCTCCAGCCTCTCGTTAGAACTCCAGACCTGCGTTATTAACTGCCTACTTTTCTAGGGTATTCCTCCAGCTTATATTTCCCCAAATGTACACATTTTTCCTGTAGACTATTCTTTTCCAATTGTTTCTTGAACCCAGACACAGCACCATCACCCGCCTTGCAATGAGAACCAAGGACTTGTCATCATCCTCGATAATTTTCTCTTCCTTGTTCCCCATATCCAGTCCATCAACAGGCTGTATTTATATCTGTTTCAGGTGATTATCTCTTTTATTGCATCTTTCTATCTCCTCTATTGCCTGAGTCTAGAAACTATCATCTCCCACCCGCGTGCCTGCAAAATTCATCTCTCCAACCCACTTTGGCTTCACAATGAAGCTGGAATGATGAGTTGGAAATACAGATCTGACCATATCATTGCTCCATGAACAACGATTAAATGGCTTTCTATGTTTCTTGGGGTAAAGGACACACACCCTCATCATGGCCTATAATGTCCTCTGTAAGCTGGCCCCTGCTGCCCTCCAGCTTCTCACGCATCGTGCTCTCCTTGCTTTCTCACTCTCGTTACACTATATTTCTTTCAATTCTTGAATGCACCAGGCTCCTTGCCCCATCACACAGCCAGTGCTGTTTTGTCTGCTGTTTCCATGTGTTCCTCTGATGCTCTGTGCCTAGTGACACAGCCAGTCCTCCTTTGGAGCTCACCTCACTGGGCCACTTCCTCCCAGAAGCCATTCATTTCCCTATTATGCACTTTCCAAGTATCACACGCCTCTTAGTTCTGATCATTAATAGAATTGAAAGCTTACTATTATTGATTCTTGGTTCATTAATCCTATCTCCTGAGCCCCACCCACCACTGCCTATAGGCTCTCTGAGGGCCGGAACTGTGCCTGTTTTGCTCACCACTGTTTCAACAAGTGCCTGGCACATAGTAGTTGCTTGTGATTATTTATTGAAGGGATGAAGTGTGAGTCTCATTAGAGCAGGTGAATAACAGTATTCCTGGGCTATTAGAAACCTCTCTAGTGCCCCTTTGCCTTGGCACCCCCCAGTCTCGAGAATAGGCTCTCATAGCAGGCACTAAGTAAAGTTTAGCTACAGCAATGAATGCTCCAGAGCCCACGCTTCCTTCAAACCCAAACAAAAAGACTGTGACACCATCAAGGAAACAGTAGCCTGAGATGCTCAGCTTCCTTTACACCTTGTCATCTCATATGTCTTGTGGACTAGACGTATCTCAGAAATCTTGTTCCCAGATGGACAGCAGAGCTTCACAGGGCCACTCGGAACCAGCCCCAACTCTGGGATGTAAGCCCCGCCCTGCCAAAGAGGTGGCTGGCTAACTCCCCTAGGAATTCTCTGGCTGTGGATAGGCAGAGCCTGCTCAGGCTTGGCATTCGATGCTCTGCTTTTGCCTTTAGCTGGTGAGGGGAACAGAATAAAATCCCTCATCCGTACGTCCTTCCAAAAGAAGGATCTCTGACCCCATGACGGCATAGTTTGGCACACAGCCCATGGATGCTCAGTAGCAAATTAATGAAAGAAGCAAATAACTGGGGTTCACTTGCCTTTATGTCATTTAATCATCATCTGTTAACCAGTGATTACCACAAAAGGAGGCCTGTGCTAGAGACTGGCATGAGAGAGATGACGGACACATTCCCTGTTCTTGAAGACTCGCCATCCTCACCAGGGAGACTTGACTAAGTAAACCCAGCTTGTCTTAATTACAAGAGCCTGGGAAGGTGCTCTGATAAAGGAATCACTGGATGCTCTTAAGCAAGAAGAGGGGGTGCTTCACTATGCTGGAGGGCTGTTCTTAACTATCAGTGAGTTTGGAGAGTCAGAATCAGGCGCAAGGGCATTAACGCCCCTTCAACTCAGCTGAGTTCTGTGAACACGTGGCTGGAAAAGGAAAAACTCAGTTTGGTTTCAGGAGAACAAATGTGTGTGGGCAGTGACAGCATCCCTTCAGCAAAACGTTGGACACCGTGAACATGAAGGGAACACCTATTATGAGCCAGGCTCTGGGCTAACATGAGGAAACAAAGATAAAGGAGGCATACCCTTGCCCCTGAGGCGCTGGCAGACCCCTGGAGGAGACAGATGGGGTAAAAACTAGCAAATGATCTTGGTACATTGAGGTATGTGCGAAGGGTTACAGAGAGTTCTCGGAATTTAGAGAAAAGGGAGAAACTCTCCCAGGAGTACAGGCAATCAGAGACGATACGGTTGTTGAGGAAGGATGAGATGGTGACAATGTGGAGAAATGATGGAGAAAAACAAGGAAGGGTCAGCAAGAGGATTCTTCAGCTTTGAGCTGCCTCCCACAATCGTGGGACCTTTGGGGATAGGAAGAGCAGCAGGAGAGAGTCACTCCGGGTGCTGGACCACGCTCCAGAAGTGTCCACACAGATGTCAGGGTGAGGAGTTGTCTCTGATCCCTGGTACAGTGCAAACCAGGCCAGGCTTAGGCATTCTTTGGTTGCTGCTTTTGCTATGGCATCAACAAAATCATTGTTTTGGGGCAGGGGACTGAAGGACCAGGGGACTTGAAAGTTGAATGCAAGGTTTCTGACTATTGAGGTCTAGACTTAGGGTTAGAAAACCTGTGGAATCTTGGCCCTGTCTTTCGTCGGTCATGTGACCTTGAGCAAGTGCCCCGAGTTTTCTCATCTATAAAATGGGAAAAATCATTTCTATTTTTGGAACGTTTTGAGGACTGAGCAAGATGGATCCATAAAATGGCCCAGCCCGGGGCTGAGGGTTTAGTAAATGCCTGGTTCTCTGCCTTCCTCTACCTGGATTTGAGTCTGTGAGTTAGTGGCTGGCAGAGTATATAGCATCCATATTGAATTCAGAAAATGGAGTTAGTTGGATATAAGTGTTTTTTGAACCCAAGGCAATTTCCCTCTAATACACTAAATTTCCACCCCAACATTTGTTTCATATAAGGCACAAAGCAAAACTTTATATTTTTAATCTTTAAAAAAGGTGGGTCCAATATATGGTGACGGAAGGAGACTCATCTTTGGGTGGTGAGCACACAATGGGATACACAGATGTCGTATTATCAGCTTGTACACCTGACATTTATGTGATGGTATTAACCAGTGTTAATAACCCCAATAAATTTAATTTAAAAGATCCAGTGGCTTTAATTGTATTGCCTCCGCATAAAGCTGTTTTCTCACCCTCTACCTGAAAGAATAAAGTAGGGTTTGGAGTAATTTTGTGAGCCTGAGAATCTAACTATAATTCCATGGTTTGATCCTAGGGATAAAGCAGTCTGAGGGATGAAATTCTGCCATTGATCTCACAGGAAGATAAGAATGCTTCAACACAGCAGTTGTGTAATCTTGGACAACTCAGTTTCTCTGGCTCTCCATGTCTTCATTTGCAAAAAAAGAATATAAAGCAATCCCAACCTCACAGGGATCAATCCTCAAAAGGATTAAGTGGGACAACGTGTGTAATACCCTTAGCACAGCGCCTGGCACATAATTAACACTCAGTAAATACAAGCTGTTGTCATTATGATTATTGTCTAGTCACGTGTGTGAGCCTCTTCAACATCAGTCTCTTTCCCCTTCCCCCTCCAAGGTGCCTCCACCCAGAACTCTAACACCGTGGAACCCGAGAAGCAGGTGGACAACACCGTGAAGATGGCTGGAGTGATCGCTGGCCTCCTCATGTTCATCATCATTCTCCTGGGCGTGATGCTCACCATCAAAAGGAGGTGAGTCCGGGTTGCTGCCCTGCAGACTGTGCCAACCCCAGGTGGCCCCAGCACTGCCAGGTGGCCAGGTCCTTGCTCTGTCAATCCCTTCTAAGCAAGGACCGACTGCTATGATTGTTGAGGTCCTGAAATACTTGGGCCAATTGTGGCTGATTGTGTTGGTGACCGAAGGGTATGTGCTGCCTGCTTGGTGAGTGGCCCTGAGATGGTCAGTTTTCTTATGGGGCCAGTGATCCCTACGGTTGGGCCACCTTGAAGTACCATGGGATTCCTTGTATCGTGAAATGAGTCTTCTCAGATTTAACTGCTCTGTTGTGATTGGTCATGTTAGCAAGATAAGTGGAGAGCCCCAGAGACACAGATGAGCCCAGAAATATCGATACAGAAAAGTATCTGTACTGCTCACAAAATGGCCATCTTCTGTTTGTCAGACATTCACAAGACTTGATAATAACACAAGGGAGGTACAGAGAGGGAAAGGACATATCCATCGGGGATGAACTGCAGCGATCACCGTCCCTACAGTGCACTGGTTGTTCCTCTAAACAGAGTCTTTCTGCCCGCCTCTCCTTAGCCTTTGGACTGGCACCAGGTTTACATACCTACCCACTCACCTCCATGTCTTCTCACGTTCAACACCATTGTCCCAACCTTGGTCTGAACCTTCCCACTTCCCCAATCTGCCAGAGCAAACAAAACATTTCCCTACATTATAGTCACATGTGCCGCAATGTTCCCTGCCCCCAATTTAAAGAGACTTTCATATTATTAAACAAACTACGTGACCCCTCATCCTGAAACCCTGGGTTTGGTGACTCAAAGAGTTCAGGACAAGCCCAATAACGAGAACCAGGGGCTTGCTTCCATCTGTACAATAAAAAGTGCCCGTGAAATGGGTTCCCCACCAAAACAAAGGGATAGAATGCCCCAAAGACAAATGTCAACCTCCAACTAAGGGGTCACATGACTATAAATGCAGAAAGTTAAAAAAAATAATAATAACACTCCCATTTCCAGCCATCAGTGAGTCAGAAATACCGGGGCTCCCACTCTACATGCAATCAGCCTTCTATTAGTCATTTTGGCACCGAAATGTCCTTGTGTCTCTCATGGTTCTGTTCTGAATAAGCCAGTCGCCCCTCTGGCCAAGGTATCTTATTGGTAGGACTAGTCCTTTCTTGACATTTTCTCTGACAGGATCACTCCTTCCTCAGACTCCCTGAAGAATGAAGAGTGAAGGTTCCCAACCAGTTGCTGAATCTCTGGTTGGAGAGGCTAGGGGAAGGGAAAGTGCTGTGTTAATATTTGAAACCAAGAGCCCCCAAAGGGTTAAGGACAGCACTGCATTGTCACATCATCAGCATCATCCATAAAATGGGGCCATATTGAATGTCTCAGTGACAAGTCAGCTGCTATTAGATAAGGTCGAACATGGGGTTTGATTTTTCTGGGGACGGTAAGCACTCTGCACATAGAAGATCATTCTCATGTTTCGTAGACTCGTAGACACATTGGCGGCAGAAGTGAGTTTCGGATTGCCTCCCCGGAAAAAGTAACCAATTTAATAGAATTGCATTCCTCTCTGATAGAGCCGAAATGTTCTCATTCTTTGCCACTGATTTGTAAGTCAGATATGCGCTTCCAATTTTGCTCTTTCTAAAGCCTGGCTTAACCCGCGTCATCATCGTCTGTGGAGCTTGTGAAGAAATTTCACTTCCTTCTCAACAGCTATTTCTGAAATGTGTGACTTTTGGGGAGGGAGGAAAGGACTTTATGTTTCCAGGGTTGGAGCAAGTATAAAGTTTGTCCTCTGTGTGGTTTTTAACCTCTTCTGCATGCCTTCATCTTGTACCTCCATCCAAATCATCCATCAGACCCAGCCAACAGGCATCACATGATCACCATTTCTCCCCAAGAGGCAAAACTCAAGTTGTGGCCATGGGCAGAGGTTGGGATTTTGCTGATCAGTGTTTACATATATAGTCTCTTTCAGGAAAAACACAACATTTTGCTGAACTAGTTGTTAGTAATAATGTGCAGATGGGTATAGGGGAAAGAAAGGGGAAGAGAGAAGAACAGAGGAAAGAGAAAGGTAAAGGGGAGGAAAAGAGAAACTAATCATAGGCCTGCACTCTTTCCACTGACCCTTTCATGCCTTCTTATGTCTAGAGATGCCCCAAGGCCAGTGAAGGGCTTGGGTGGCTCCTTCGCCTCTTATGGGGAAACCTTTGGTCGATTGAGTCTGTCACTGACTTGCTGCTGACCAGAACGCTATCCATAACTACCTGAAAGGAAGTTCTGTTGAAGGAAAAGAAACCCCTAAGTAATAGGCAAATCATCGCAACTCAGGCTGCTAGTGTCAGCATCTCTTCAGTCCCATCATGATCCACAGTTAGTCACTGGATCCAGGAGTTCTCAGAAGCCAAACACCAGCGACAGCCCCTCCACTGGCTTGAGCTGGGCCCTCTCCCTAACCTCCAGGGACATGGGCATGGTGGCTCCTTGTTCTCTCTAGTTCTGGTGGATCCAACTGATTCAAAGTCTTCACCAAAGCTGTGGCCAAATGTTCCCAGGACACATAAGATGTCCCTCACTTCTTCCCCTGGAGTCTTCGTCCTCATTGGCAATAGGGCTTCCTTGTCACTCTCCGAAGACATTTTTTCTGTTGCTAGTAGGTGTTTCCTTTTTGATACTGAACTAGAAAGCAGAACAGAGAATGGGCTAGAGGTACAGAGGACCAAGAGAAGGACTTAATGAAAGAAGCTAAATCAATTTACATTCAGGAGACAAGGGGGAAAAGACGGAGGAGAGAAGAGAGAGACAGAAAGCATCAACAAAGCCCCAGGGATGTTCTGTTGTTGTGTGGTTGATTGTTTTGTAATGGGTGGAGGGGATGTTGAGAAGTGAAAGGTTGCAGAAAAGGATGTGAGATGTTGGTGGGTGACTCACACAAAATTCCCTTAGAATTTGCAAAAGATGGGGGTTAAAGATGAGAATTATTTTTGTGGTAGCTTCTTTGAATCAGGGTTACATGGAGATACACAGGATGAGTATCCCTGTGTAGATGAGCATGTAGATGAATAGATCAATGGATAGGTGGGTGGATAGATTAAGTGGGTGGATGAATGGGTTCTTGGATGGAGGGATGGATGCATGGATGGATGGATGGATAGACAGATGGATGGGTGGGTTTATGTGTTAGAGGTATGGGTAGATTTAAATGGATGGTTAAATACACAACTTAGTACTGTTTAAATAGCATGGAACAAAAAAGGGAAGCTCTTTTTTGTTCCTCAAGTGCCTCAAGTCAATCTTGTCAGCCAGCTGAAAAGTAGATTCCACAACATGTGATTTATTAAGTTTGGGGTTCTGTGTGGTTTTTCTTGTGTGTGGTTTTTTTTCCAAGCACAGCTGCCTTCCTGCTCAAAATTTTGTGATCTCAGGCAATCTGTTACTTGCAATATCACTGTATCCTTGTAAATTTAGACCTTCAGTAAATCTTCTTTAAGGCTTAGAGAAAACACAGATGTATACTATGTTTTGGTCACAGAATTAAAGAACTATAAACCTTGCCCTGGAAGATTTAGCAATTTAATTGGGGAAAGGTACTCAATTAACAAAAGGCTTGTCCGTTGCCATCATTCTGGAGTTGCCTTGACTCTGGGTCAGGTAACCCTGGCTTCTGGTAACAAATAGGCTAACTCAGAAAATCTACTTGGAAGTGGTGGTTTGAATGGTAAGGAAGCATGGTGTCAAGAGGTGCAGCATGCCAGGCAGAGGTGAATCCTGAAGGTCAAGAGTAGAAAAGCCAGAGGGCCCAGAATGTAGAGTGCAGCCTGGAGCCCACGCGTGCAGCCCGGGGCTGCTGACTGTGGAAACCCTTGCTCAGGATGCAGGTCTTGCAATTGCCCCCAAAATACACAATACCTTAGACCTATACTCTCAGCACAGGGTGACGTCTTAGAGCCTCGGCTGCCTCAAATAAAAGTGAGAATAATGCCTTCTCCATGAGGTTTTGGGCGGGATTCAAAGAAAGAAACCTGTGACATCTCCATGCCTGACTCACTGTATGGTTCAGCACACATCTGTTTTCTTCCCTTCTCAAAGGTAGCTCAGGCTAGTGGTCAAGAAGCTGAGCGTGAGGGCCATGATGCTATCAAATCCAGCTACGAACTGATTTTAGGCAAGATACTTCACCTTTTTCACCTCAGTTTACTCCTCTGTAAAGTGGGATGATAACACTACCTACCTGTCAGGGTGGTTGTGAGGAATACTTGAGTGGATGCCTGGTAAGAGCCAAGAACAATGCCTAAGTATGTAGTAAGTGCCAGGCAATTATTTGTTCTTATTTTATTAGTATTTTAGTATTCCTAAAGCGATGAACACTTTGTTCCTGATCACCAGAGTGAGCAGCAGCAAACCTTATTATTTGTGGATGAGGTGGGGGCATAAGCTCCTCTTCATTGAATTCAATTACAGTATATTTCAGGTGTTTAGATTAATATAATCTAATATTAATTTAGATGAATATCATTTCCTTATAATACCATAGATATCATATATAATTAGAATATAATTTGGATTAATATAATCTAATGTTAATGCCCACAATGACTCTTGAGAAAAGGGAATGAATGCCCCCAACTTTGAGATGGAAAAAAGTGAGACTCAGAGATATGTAGTGACTTGCTCCTCATTTAACAAGTGCTGGTACTGGGATGCTAAGGCATATCGCATTTCCACTCCTCAAAGCTGTTTAAGCTGACGGTTATCCATGCCGTTCACTCTGTACATGGATCAAGAAACAGGTCCAGGGGAAAGAATCGACTTGCCCAAGATGTCACAGTGAGCAAGTGAAAGCACTGGGATCAGAAAGCTGGCCTCTTGAGTCTCAGTCCAGTGTTCTTGACAATATGGAGAGCGCAGGTGTCTATAAGTCTTCAGTAAAGGGACCCTGAGCTCTGTCCTTGAAGAATCACATTTCCAGGTGCTGGACCACAGAGCCATCAATGAAAAAGAGGAATAGTCTTCTTACAGTGCCAACCTGCATGGTTGGTGAAGGGGAGTTGATGACACTCGTGGGCTCTTCCAAGTCCCACCCATCACAGTTAGGAGTTCTTCACTCCTTTCATCATCTAGGGACACTGTTCATTTAGCCCAAAATATGGACCAGTTTTATAAGTGACCAGGTCTTGCTGCACTGTGGTTCAGCCTCCCGAGGAGGCACAGGGCTTCCTTTCCGCCATGCTTTCTTGGCTCTCAGAGTCACTTTCCTTGTGAAGCTATAAAGTTGGGCTCTCCTGATACATGAGAGAAAGCCTAGATGTGGCACTGCCTTGGGGGCTTTGGCCAGTTCCTACTTGAGAGGGGGGAATTTGAGGCCCTTGAGGACATGTCCCCACTTTTCAGGTACAAAGACCGTATCTTCCTGTGCCAAGCAAATGGGATAATGTTTGCAATTAACCAAATAACTCAAGAGGGAAGGAATTCTTCTTGCCTACTCAGATGGATATTTGGGAACCTGAATTATTCAGCATTTTTTCTCAACCTACAAATGTATCAGTGATTGTCAGTGTAACTGAGTCCGTAAAATAAAAGCATTCTTACTTTTTTTTTCCTACAAAATATGAAAAGTTATAACAAAGGGACTATCATGGAGTAATTTGAGTTGTTTATTATTCCAAAGCCAAGAGCTAGACGGGACATCAGAAAGAGATTGCAGGCGGTGATTTTTTTCAAGCTTTCTTTTGAAGAGTGGAACTCTTAGTCATGTGAAATTTTAAATGAAGCTCCAGGTTATAAAAGAGAGAAAAATGGAGGAGCTCTGGCTTGGGCGGATAGTGGGGGATCAGCAGCCCCCCCTGCTCAGTATCTCCTCTTGCCTCATTACAATAAGGCTGTTCTGCAGAACCCCAGGGTGCCTGGAAACACAGTTTGAAAACCACTGATCTAGTTCCACTCATCTAAGGGTCAGACAAGGGCGTGAAGGCACAGAGCGTTTATTCCAGTTGTAGTGTTTTCGGGCTGAAGATTGGAATTCCTCCCTCTTAGGGCAGCACTCTTTCATGAAGTTGGAATTTTGCTCTGGTTATCTACTGCCATGTAACAAACCACTCCCTGAAATGTCATGGCTTCACAATAAGCCATGCATTTAGTGACTTGCTTCTCTCATGAATCTGCACTTTGGTGAGGGCTTGATGAGAATGACTTGTCTCTGTTCCATGATATCCAGGGTCTCGGTTGGCATAATGCAGTAGGCTGGGGTTGGGACTGCTGAGGGCTGGCTGGATAGCTTTGTCTTCATGCAGTCTTAGGGCCTCTCTGTTTATTCTCTTCATATGGTCTCTCCAACATGGCAACCTCAGGATACTCTTACCTGGAGGGTTCTAAGTAAGAGTTGCAAAGACCTGGACAGAGCTGCAAGGCTTCTTGTTTTTACCTATCCTAGAAAGTCCCCAAAATGTAACTCCTGTCACATTCTATTGGTCAGACAGGGCCAGCCTTGATTCAATGTGGGAGGGCACTACACGTTGGCATGAGTATTGGGAAGTGTGGGTTGTTAGGGAGCCATCTTGGATGCTCGCTACATGATTTCCTTGCTTTTGGCATGACCTTACTAACCAGACTCTGGTGTGGTTTGAGCTGAAACAGAGAAGATAGAAGTCATTATGGTTTTCCTTAGATCATAGGAGCGCTGTCATGTAGAAGAGCAGTACACTAGTTCTAGAAGGCCACAGAAACCTGACCGAAGACGAAAAAGTCACATTTATAATGAAGCTAGTTTTAGTTGACCATGAAAACTTTCAAACAACTTAAAGCAGCCAGCATGAGATGTGGCTTCCTCTGTGAGTTTCTCCATCATAGGCGAGATCACTCTCATTTTTTCTACCACTGGAACTGTCTGATTCTCAGCAAAGATAACTAGTAGAGAAACGTGCATCTCCTTGAGCCGAGGGATACTGAAATACTATGTGTATTTCTAAGAATCAAGATTTCATATAAATCTAATTCTTGTTTATTTGTCTTTTCTTTTTCCCCCTTTTTGGACATTTCCTTCATCTGACTGCCCATCAATATATAGAAGAAATGCTTATTCCTACTCCTATTACTTGTAAGTATCGACCCGGAATTAACTTTGCTTTGTGCCCTGTAAGGGAAACTGTAGCATGCATTTCCTGCACCAACCAAGTGTCTGTTGGTTCCTCATCCTCACTTCTGTCTAAATCATCTGTAGCCCCAAAGTTTTTATTTTGCGTAGATGTTTTCCATTTGAAAATGCACTGTCACTGTTCATGTCTGTTATGTCTCTGCCATCTTGGATTTTTTTCCGTTTTTGGAGATGTGAAGGGCTGTTTTTCCTTAGTCAGTGTGATTTTCTAGTTAGAAACCCCCAACTTCCAGCAAGAGGCCAAACAATTCTCCTACAAGACTTGCTCACATAAAACAGAATCACAGATCTCAGCCACTTCAGAGTCCATTTGTGTCCACTTGGGGAACAACAGGTAGCCCTACAGTCCCAAAGGTTAGAGATTCCTTAGCTGTTTCTACTGTTTCAGGAAGTCTACAGGGGATCATGACTTTATCTAGAAACAGCTTCACAGTGACATCTAAGGTATTTGCTTTGTGCTTGAATTATCTGTTTGATTTTCACATTAGTTATCTCAAGCTATCAGCGGTAGTTATAAATGGTTGGTAGTTATAGATGGCTAATTGCCTGTCAATTTTTTATTGTACTTTCTAAATAAATGATGATGATTTTTCTCATTATTAAACCAGATATTTTCAAAACATGAGGGTCAAGGAGGAAAAACTCCATAAGTAAGTCCTTGGTAATGAAAAGTTAAAAAAATCACTGAATTAGTCCCATTTTCCTAATATACATTTTCCATATTTTATAATTGAGGTCCAAAGAGGTATGTGAAATCATACATGCCGTTAGCAAAAAAGTGGGATTAAACTTCAAAATGCCTGTCTCCTGGTAAAGTATATTGTCCCACCATCCCATGTTGTCCTCCACCCCGGGGAAACCCAGCCTGTGAGAGAGGCCATGTCTGTCAATGATCATCTGCTGAAGCCTTCACAGATGGAGATGGAACTAACAAGAGCCTCCCTCAGCCCCTCTGCTCAGTGCTTAGGTCCACAGGTCAATAAGCCCATGTAATGCGCAGATAAGATTCTGACCCCACTACCCTCATGTTATATAGAAGCCAATGGAACCCCACCACCAACACTAGAAGTACTAGAGAACTTGCTTCATTTGTTCGTTTATTCATTGGCCAAACACGCATTGAATGTGCACATTATGTTCCAGACACTGGCTGCAGAGATGACCAAGACTTTGAGCCATACCCCAGCAGTGCTTAAGCCTACCTGAGAGACTCACATAAAATCAAATACTTAAAATGTCGAGTGAGAGGTGGTATAAGAGCACTTAGCTGCTTCACTAGTTTTTTAATGGGGCAAGGGATAGTTATCAGTGTTTTTAGAGACAGATTTTACCCAAAGGAATAAGGATGCTGAGCAGAGGAAAGAGCATCTGTAACGGGATAGAAGTAGGAAGCAATATGGGGTTTTGTTGCTATGGCACAAAAAAGAATGGGCTTTAGCAATCATGCAGCTCTGGGTTCAAGCCCCGTCTCCATCACTCGCCTGTTCTGCAGCCTTGAGCACATTTCTGAACTCTCTGAGCCTCGTTCCTCTTAGCTCTAAAATTGTGGCAATATGCCTAACTCATAGAGTGACCCTGAAGAGGGAATGACACAATTTTGTAAAGTGCTTATGTTATGACCAAGTTGGCACTCATGAAATGTGACTTTTCTTTCTTTCCCCTTCCAGAAACCATAAGGGGTTAGGGCACTAGTGGTGGCCTCTGGGAGGTCCTTGGTCTTCCAGGGGTTCTTATGGCATCAATGTCCCACAGTAGCTGTGGGCATGGAATGACCCATCACAACCTCTGGGCACCTCACCCCTCAGTGTGTTAGCCAGTGTACGTAGTACAGTCTTTAGGTGCCCACTTTATACCATGCATTGTGCTGGGTACGCTCATGAACTCAAACACGAACAGTGTGGGCATGTAGGAAACAGAGACACAGGTACTTGTACTTCAAGGTACAGTGATAAACACGGGCCTTTCAACTGATGGAAACATGGGGTTCTAAGTCATAGATCCTGGAGTGTGAAACTCATGCCAGCCCAGGAACTGACCCTGGCTAAAGATTCAAAGGAAGAGAGGACCTGGCAAAGCAGCCAGAGAAATAGGAGGAGAACCACAAGAAGCACAAGAGGAGGCCATTGCAGAAGGGGGGATTGACAATAGCAGAGATGCTGGAGAGAGATGGAAGTAGAGGGCGTGGCCACGGCCCTGACATTTGGCCATCAGTAGTCACTTGAGCTGGTCATGGAGTAGGGTTGGCAAAGGAAACCAACTTGTCTGGAGCCCAAGAGGAATACTTCTTTTTAACTACTGGACTCTAAAACAGTGGAGAAACATGAGATTAGCCACTTGAGGGGCCAGAGAGTCCTGGGCACATGGGTACGTAAAGATGAGGAGCCTGTGAGAAGGAAGAGGCAGAAGATGCTGAAGATGGTGGCTATGGAAGGGAAGGTCTGAAGGCCAAGTGTCTGGGGACAGGGGGCAGCCTAGGAGGGTAGGAGGGTCAGGTCTGTGAGAGACCAGAGGATTGAGGCGTCCGTGTAGATGGAGAAGAGGGGGCGGGGGAATGATGACCTCTATGACCTCCAGATTCAAAACCCCACTCCACCAAATCTTAGATATAGACCCTGAGCAGGTGCCTTAAACCCTCTCTGTTCAAAGGGTGGTCCATAGACCAACAGCGCTAGCATCACCCAGGAGCTTGCTGGAACTGCAGTACCTGGGGTCCCAGCTCGGACCTACTGCGTCAGAACCTGCATTGTAACAAGATCCTCGGTGACTCACGTGCATGTTAAAATTTCAGAAGCGCTGACTTAACCAGAGTCTAAGTTGTCCCGTCTATAAAATGGGAAAAATAATATCCTCCTCACAGGAGTTGGGGAGTCATCTGGTCCCTCTGAAAGCCCTCAAAATTGTCCATGAGACAGAGCTTCCAACACACTTTGGTTAAACCATCTCTTCCATAAAATCATGTTTATTCATTCAACAAATATTTCTGGGGTGCCCGCTGATGTGGTAGACACTGGTCAAGCGTCTGGGGTATAAGAGTACAACAAACAAAAATCCTTGCCCATGTGGAGCTTTTTAATGGAGTAGATAGAAAATAAACAACATATAGAAGAAAAGTAAGTAGTATAGACATTATGGATTGGCAGAGAGAGCTAAGGAGAAAATAGACAAACCAGGGAAAAAGGACACCAAATGTGGGTTGGGTGGGAGCAAGAGAATTCATTTTTCAAACAAAGAGACCCTCAAGGCTCCCGCATAGAAAGGTCTCATGCACAAGACCAGGGGTCCACACACTTTTCCTGTAAGGAGGCAGTAGGAAATATTTTGGCTCATCTGGTCTCCGTTGCACCTACTCAACTCTGACATAATTCAAAAGCAGCCATAAACAATCTACATGAATGAGCATGGGTGTGTTTCCATAAAATTTATCTTAAACAATCAGACAGTGGGCCAAAAGCATGCTGAGGGCCGTAGTTTGCCAAACCCTGCCCTAGGCTTTTGAAATAGAGAGAGGACAGGGTTTAAGATTCATCCTCCTTTATTGAGCTCCTACTATAGGCTGCACCTTATGTTTGCCATTGTGGACACAAAGGTGAATAAAGCAACCTGACCCAGCCTAGAAAGAGGGGGAAGTTGAAAAGAGTTACCTGTTGGTAGCTACCTTATGTCAGGCTCATCTAAAGCTTACAAGCCCTGTGAGACACATGCTATTGTGTTGAGTTTATTTAGATCAGCGGTTCTCAACCTGTGGGTTGCAACCCCTTTGGGGGTCAAATGACCTTTCACAGGGGTCGCCTAAGACCACCGGAAAACAAAAAGATATTTACATTACAATTCATAACAGTAGCAAAATTACAGTTCTAGAGTAGCAACGAAAATAATTTTAGGGTTGGGGGTCACCACAACATGAGGAACTGTTTTAAGGGGTCGCGGTATTAGGAAGGTTGAGAACCGCTGATTTAGACGTTAAGACTGAGGTTTGAGGACTTGTCTCCATCCCACAGTCAGGATGTGGCAGGGCCAGGGCATGAACCCAAGACCACATACCCCCTACTCATAATTTTCACCTAACCCTGTTCTTCAGGGGGTGGGGAGACTCCTGCCTGGTCCGTGTGCTTGGCGAGCCCTTGGCCAGGCTGTGGGGGAGCCAGGATTCAAATGCAAGTCTTGGCTGCCTGTAGGGCTTCTGTGTTGTGCGCCTTTCTAGGGACGAGAAGTGGTTGTTATTCCTGGCTAGCAAGGAGGCCTTTGGGACAGTCCTGTCATTGCTGTGCTGGGGATTTGTCACATGGTCAGAGTCAAAAGCAATGGGCTGCCAGATCAGAGGTAGCTGAGGGGTTAGAGTGAGGGGTGACTAAAAGAGTGTCAATGACCAGAATAAAAAGAGCTACAGATAGAAGGATCTGGGGACCCAAGGACACAGGAAAGTCTAGAATGGGGTCCTTCATTGTCCTGTGCGTGCGCGCGCGCGCGCGCGCGCGCGCACACACACACACACACACACACACACACACACACAGTGAGAAGAATGTGGGCTTTGGCATCAGGCCTAGATAACAATTCTAGGTCTGCCTTTCCCATCAGGTTGTTCTGACCTTGAACAATCACGGAACCACTCTGAGCCTCAGTGTCTTCATCTGCAAAATGGTGATACCAGTAGTGATTTTCCAGCATTTTCAGGCGGGGCGATAACATAGTATACATGTAATGTGGCTGACAGAAAGTAGGTATTTTACAAATAGTAGCTGTGATGTATTCCTCATGCTCTGAGCTGACAGAAATGCTTCCCTAGAATTTGTTTCTGGCCTTTTCAGAGTAAAGCAGCACCAACAAATTCCGTGTCTGCTTTTTAAAAGGATATTAAGAGTTGACGTGTGTTCACAGGTTAATTTACCTCAAAGTGTGTGATGGGCACAGTAATTGTTTCGAACAGAGACATTTTAGTGCAG